ATATAGTCTTGGGGGTCGTGGCCATAGGTTCCACAAACGAGGGAACGTACATGCACAGTCATTCGAAAGAGAACCTTCAGAGCGTAACCATCAACCCCCGGAATTCTATGTCGGTCGCATTGGTACGACGCATGCAGCTCATATTTCCGCAAGAGTCGATCGACGTGCTTGGACACATTCTATATGGCATGCTCCAATGTGTCAGAGTGGCGCGCATTGGTTTTCAGCAAACTGGGCGGTTGTTAGTCATAGTACTACAATGAACCGTCTTGGATTGGGTGAGCGGAGCCCATTTGCGGGTGGTGTGCAAGCAGTGGGCCGTGAGGTAAGAGAAAATCGTGTGTGCTTGTCGCACAGCCAGCAGTAGATCCTACCGGAATGTGTACAATATAATTATGAGAAACAAAATACATACTGTACGGCATTCTCCAGGTTGGCCAGGCGGAGGAACATGCACTGGCTGTTAGCACTGTCTATGAATATGGATGTTATGTGACACATAGGGTCTCCTGTGAGCCGGCGGTACAGCGCGATATCACAACCGAAAAACAATCTCGCCGGCAGCATTCGTGCCGCCAACTTGTCCATGACAAAAATCTTCACAGTATGCCGTTCGCCCTCAACTTACCCGAATAAGCCGACCAACTTATTTATGGGAGCAAACTGTTAGCTTTCCATGAAGGCACACACAGCCAGACGTTTGGTATGCATGCCATCCTTGATCAGGAATTTGTAGAGCTTATATCTAAAGCCCACCCATTCGTTGCTTCAAGAGAACAAAAAAGAACGGTTTGTCACGTGTGGTTGGTTGACAGTTACTCCATCCATGATGCGTCAAAACGGCGCTATCCGTTGTTATCTGAAGAGTGACCTCTCCCTGACAGCAGCACATGCACACTTACGGTCAAAAGGAGTTTGTTCAACAGCGAATGCATATTATCTGCCACAGCGGAACCAAACTATGCGTCATCTACTAAACAGGGAGGGCCAACTAATGTGCTGTCCGGTACTGCTTGTAATTAACAGGAGCACTCAGTTTACTAGCCTCTTCGGTTCGCCCGACTTTCTTTCTATTTGCTGCATTTGTAGAATACCAACTCGTATGGTGCGGTTCGTTTGAAATCGGTTTTGTTTCTCCTGCTGACGCCTAGA